GGATTGTGATCAGAGAGATGTTTAGGTAGAAGACATTGGGCTATGTTCAGAAAATAATTTAGAAAACTTCAATTGATCAAGAATCGATCAAGTCTTACATACGTAGAATATTCTCTATTATTACACCAAGTGAATCATCCTCCCGTAAGTGGTAAATCAATTATATCACCCTGTTGAACGAATGTTGTAAACAAATCTATAAAATGTCAGCTTTGGGATACTTCAATCTTTTCTTCAAGTGCAAGGTATGCATTAAAGTCACCCGCAATAAATACCGGTGAATTCAGGTTATCCACAAACTCTAGTAATTCCCTAAAAAACTTTTCTTTTTCTGCCTCTGTAGAAGGCCATATACATTGATAACAACATACTCAGAATTCATTTCCTTGAAAACCCCTGAGATTGCAATAAACCTCATGTGTATAAACTCTCGAGTGACTTCAAACAGGTTTTCATTCCATAGACAGAGCAGACCTCCAACAAAACCTATAGTTGGTGAGAAGCTGATACATTTCAACAGATTCCCCCCATGTTCCTCCGTAAAGCTTGCTGGCAATGTTCATGTTTAGTTTCTTGAAGAAATACAATAATATGTCTTCTCTTTTAAACAAGCCTCGAAACTACTCTCGCCTTCTCACTTCTCCCAATACCCTTTATTTTCTAAGAAATGAAACTGACTTTTGACATAAATAACTTATGTTAATACCAACAGCTGAGGTCAGGAGCCTAACTCCTCACCTCCCTAGCCCTCTTCCTCTCCAAATTCATAATTTCCTCCTCTAAGATCTTTTGACCCCCTTTGAAAGTAATCTCTAGCATATCACTCACCTCCCTAGTAGTCGTAGCTTCTTCTCTCAGTTTAATAAAGGCAAGGGAAGATTTAGAAGAACCTCAATCTTGGTCCAAGGAGTCTCTTACCTTTCTTCTTTGTACCCTTCTGTACATTTTATCGAATAGGCTAAAAGGCCTACTGACTTATGAAGAAACAATACTAGCATGACGAATTGAATTGCGAGTGGGAAGAGTTCTACTGTTATTTTGGGAACAAGAAAGAGGCAACTGTAGATTAGCTAGAGGGGCAATACAATCTTCCTTATTCACTCGGCCTTCTCCAGATGGGTTCAAACCAATATTATTCTTGGGGCCCAAGTTATCACATACCCTTGATTCCAAGATATGATTACTCCCTGTCTCAAGCCCATTCTGATGATGGGCTGGCATAACTTGTTGCTCTTGAGTACAAACCCTTTGGTTAGGTAATTCCCTTTCCACATTTAAAACATTAATTAAATCATATGATAGTAGAACCCTGGCATTAAAATCCATTCTTTCATTATCAACACCCACTGATTGATGCCTCGAATCCGCAAAAAAGCTATTGACGGAAACATCAATACCGTCAGGGGAATTAACCTCAATATCTGTTTCTAAGTTGCCACCTATCCTCCCCTCCTCAAGCCATGAATTAACTTTGTTTTTGGCCCCTCAAGTGACGGTTAGTTTCCCAAGTTCTCCATAGGATTCTGATCATCAGCTTCCTCATTATTCGGTGAGATTTCTTCCCATATGTCCTCCGAAAAGTTCCCTTCGTCCTTATCATTAGACACGTCCAAGCTTCTCATAGATAAGCTTGTCTTAATTTTTACAAAAACGATCTTCCATTTGCGAATAATCTGATGAATTTTGGTACGTAAAAAGGACTAACAACCTTCAATAGCAACTTAGCCACCGTCAAATCATATTTATTCTTTGTTTCGTCCTGAATGCAAATCAAGTTCCCCCATTTGTTGGCCAAACTTGTGAAGGCAGAATCATTCCAGCTGATAAGAGGGACCCCATAAAGATTGACAGAGCAGAAATCCATGGGAACACCCTCCTCCATAACTAGCTTGTCCATCCAATCAAACTAGTACGATAACTCTACCTTCTTGTTTAACCAGGTATTATTCATGCTTCTTTCTAAGGAAAAATAAGAATATAAGAGTTTCTGGCAAAGCCCCATCTCATAATTTTGACATCTATGCCATCGTTGAAGAGAGTTTTCTACATAAAATCTAACTCATACCTTGTTTTTTGTAATCCCAATTAAAGAACTCTTAATTCATTCCATTTATTTTACTGGTATGAAGAAAATATTCGAGTTTTTTATGCCCTCATGAACATTTATCTTCAGACTCGATGGCCCATCAGAAAACTTACTGCTATTCTCTAATGCTTATTTGAATGACCTTCCATCATTGAACTTCTTAAGTAAATCCTAAGTCTCCTCTGGTTTCTTAAAAGTTCCCTACACTCGCCTCTTCGACCCTTCACCATTTATTCCAACAGGAACTTTCTGGCTCTTAACATTCGGATACTTGGTTATCCCAACAAACAACCTTTTCCCATCTATCAGGTTATTGTTCAGCTTTGTTATAGGGTTCAACTGATAGTCCTGACTTGCAAAGTGAACGAAAGCAAATGTGTATTCACTATACCTTGGTCTCTTGTTGAAGAGGGGGATGAAAACCTTGGTCACCTTTCCATGGTGGTTGAATAATTCCCTTAAAGTTCCTCTAGAAACTCTTCTGCTAAGGTTGTCAATGAAAACAGACCAGGTTGCTCCAATGGGAAACGAACCGACTCTAGGACTTCTATTAGAGAGAGAATTCATTTTCTAGGACCTTCAATTTAGTTATTGAAAAATATCTTTTTATGTAATTAAAGGTCTAATTAATGTTCGATTGAGTTGAAATTTTGTGTGTTGCCTCTAATTATGATTTAATGAAGCATTTTGAGTTATGATTTAAATTTTGGCATGAATTTTGTATATTGAGTGTGAAATGAAAAAAAATACTCCTAAGCATGTACCCCGAATTAGCTAGGCCTTTGCATGACTTAGGTTCATTTTTTGAATGATTATTGTTATATGAACTTTTGTTGTGTGATTGTAATAAAAAAATTAATTTAGTCATGCTCAAAAGTAGTTCAAATATTAAATTTGGATTCGAGTCAGTTCAGTGACTGATGTGTCACTTCGTGGTCGGACTGTCTTGACCGAATATTGGGTGCTCATCCCCTATCTTACCCACTACCTCATTGAGAACACCTTGTGCCTCCTCTTTTATCTCAACTCCATTAGAGTCCAATTCATCAAGGCTTGCCTCATACACCTCAAGGTATCATTTGCATCCTTCAAAGATCCTTCGAGCTGGTTGACCCTCCCTCCAATGATGACAAGATTTCCCTCAAGCTTTCTCACTGTTCCTTCCCAGCACGGGTCGCAACCATCTCATATGCATGAACCTCACTTTCTTGGTATTTCATCTCCAAACAGTCTTGAACTTAAATTTAACTTGGATTCCAACTATCACAGGACTAGAGTTGAAACTAGAAATCTATGAGGCTTTATATATTGAAGCTTGAGTCAAGTGTCTAAGTCAACTTGAAAAATAAACGGGCGATGCCTAAATATCTCACGTGCATCTTGAGTAGACACAAGACATTGTTAAGGAGAAGCAATAAGTAGAAGAAAATAATGAAGCAAAGAAAAAATATAGTAAGTGGATTTTGTATTCTTTAAAGTAAAAAAAAGAAACAACCAATGGAAAAGAAAAAGAAATAACTAATGGTCTCTAAAGTCTATCTGCAAGATAAATTTCTAAGGTAATATAAAGTTTATCCCTTGAGGATAGATCATAATCTGATTAGGTCTCTATTTATTTGATGAGTTGAGTTTCTTGGACGTGGGCCTTCTGGAAAACAACAAAGTTTGGTCCAATTTCAGTGAATTTATTGAACATAATTCGTTGTCAAGAAACCTCATTGACGCCTATATGTGCAGTGGTCTCATGATCTTTTGGTGCAGCTCGTGGCACATACAGAAGCGTCGTCATCCACCTCATCTAGTTTGTGTTCGTGTTAATTTCTTTTTGGGCATTGTCACTCTAACTTTTTATCAGTTCTTTTAAATAACATAAAGAACTTTACTTTATTTTTTATCATATATTTTTAACAACAAACTGATTCATTCGTTGCAAAATTTAAGGGATTTTCTATTTGTTATTGATTTTTTTTCCTTTTAAAACTCTGTTTTTTATTGGTTATGTCCCTCCAGATTCTCCTAAAGCAAGATTTAGTTCATTATTTTACACACGACATTCATTTGCTTCGTATATTTCTCTCTCTCTCTCTCTCTCTCTCTCTATTTTCTCGACTCTTTCTTTAGGGAAAAAATAATTCCATTTGAGTTTCACCTTCCTTATTCATGGGTACGAATATAGAAGCTTCTTTGTTAACCTCAAGGGACGACGTCCATTATATATGATTACATCGACCATGACGAAATCACTTATAAGAAAGCGATTTACTACGACACAATAATATTTTCTTCACTTATGTTTTTTTTTAATAACTATTGGTAACAAGCTTGTTTTGCAGCAATATTATTTTCATTTGGGTTTCAACTTTTGGTATTTGGAAGCCCAAATCTGAATCATCCGAACCAACTTCTTTTCTTGAACAAAATAGTAAAAAAAAAAATTCTAATGCAGTTTTAGTCAGAAGTATCACTGAGAGAACAAGAGTTCTCAAGTTCCTGAACTTAGAAGCAAAAGCATTTCACCAGAAAATAGAACAAAAGCACTTTTTCTTCCGTCTTTTCACTCTTTTTGAAAATGTTACACAAGAAAGTGCAGTAACAATCAAGCTCAACCATGAAATCAAAGCCAACACAAGGGAAACAAGTTTCATTTATGTCGAATCTCAATTTACTTTACCATACATCACATACAAAGGAAAATCAGTACAGAAATATACCAAGAAGAGTCTAAAAAACCTCTCTTCTCACCATTTCTTTTCACACTATTATTTTCATTCATGCATTAGTATTTGTCAAGAAAAAGAAAAGGAAAAGAATCATATACGTTTAACCAAAACCCCCATACAACAGACGACATATAGTACTACATAATACTCACAGTTAAAATCTCAGTATATGTTGTTTCTTGAAGGGCAAAAAAGGACCCCTCAATATAGGTTTCTTCTTCATGGGTCTCCATTTTCCATAGCTACTGATTTATTTATATGGTAGATATTGTGCTTATTTCATTTGCTAGTTGACTCAGGCAGCTGCAACAGTGCCTGTTAGGAAAGGATAGTCTTGGGATTTGGTTGGAGATGTAGGTTGTCTTTGATCTTTCTCTCTCAACGCTTTTGCCGAGGAAGAAAGGTTCCAATTGTTTTCCTTGGCTTCATCCATATCTATCTGTTCTTGCCTGCATTCTTCACTGCAGAAAGGTGTGTCCCCTCTGTAAACATTTCAACACGACAAAAACCAAACTACTAATCATTATAAAATTACAAGGATGACGAACTTAAAAAAATTAGGAGAATGAAAACAAATTTTCAATTGAAAATATAAAAAAATTTCTACCTTTACTACAACATACACATTTCCTTCGTTTGATCTTTAGCCTCAAGCTAATAGAATTCATCGCATCATTCTAAAGTTCTTACTTTCATCTAGAAAACGTTAGAACTTGAGAAAAGTACGAAGACAGAGTAAAGGACTGACCTGTTCATGAAGATGTCTCTGTTGCCCCTAAGAGATTTCTTGCAAAGGAAACAAGCATCCAAGAAATGGGGTTGATGGTCCTCAAATCTGCCATAAAAAAACCTGGCATACCTAGAAGAAGAAACCAAACAAGAGGAAGACAGGTTCCTTAAACTGCTCCTCTTTGAATAACAAAAGGGTGTTGAAAAAAACCCATTTTGGATATGAACTTGGTAATGGCTTCCCGAATATCCAGCTTCCATAGTTGTAAGAGAAGCCAAGCCATCATCTTCTTCAATAAAAAAAGGCCTCCTTGAATGTCCATAAAACTCCATTTGGTTCTGTTGCTAGAAAAGGCCTAATCTTTGAAGGACAATGAAGAGGGAGGAGCTTGAAGAAAACAAAGTAAATGATGCAGGAAAAGTTTTGTTGTCTGTTGAGAAAAAGATCACAAACAAAACGGTTTCAGGGATATCCGTCCGAGCGAATCCATTGGCTTAATATAATCTGCAGCACCTCCAAGCTCGAAATCATTCCCGGTTAGTAGTAGTGATTTCTTTGACGGATTTGCCACTCACTTATACTCCAAACTACCAAAGCGCCAATTATATTTGATGTAAACTCGTCTTTAGTCACTCAACAATCACATTGATTTCGTTTTGGTCTTGGGTATTATATTTTTTTTCAAAATCATAACTAAAATTACATTTTAGTACCATTTTTATCATTCCCGGTTACTAGTAGTGATTTCTTTGACGGATTTGCCACTCACTTATACTCCAAACTACCAAAGCGCCAATTATATTTGATGTAAACTCGTCTTTAGTCACTCAACAATCACATTGATTTCGTTTTGGTCTTGGGTATTATATTTTTTTTCAAAATCATAACTAAAATTACATTTTAGTACCATTTTTATCATTCCCGGTACTAGTAGTGATTTCTTTGACGGATTTCCACTCACTATACTCCAAACTACCAAAGCGCCAATTATATTTGATGTAAACTCGTCTTTAGTCACTCAACAATCACATTGATTTCGTTTTGGTCTTGGGTATTATATTTTCTAAAATTACATTTTAGTACCATTTTTGCCACCCATCATTAAAAAAATAACGATAATATTGATGTATCATTATAAGGTAATATCACATCATATTGAAAAAATAAAAAAAAAATATCACATTAGTAGTTCTGTTTATTTTTTTAATGACGGACGATCAAAACGTAACATTAAATATGATTTTGAAAAAAATAGTTAGATCATCAAAACGGAACTCAAGTGATGGTTGAATGACTAAATATATTATTTATCCTTGATTTTCTAGTAAAACATTTTTATTTTTCTATTATGCATACCTAAAATGTGTGCAGTTTATCAGTCTTCCTTATCGATCGTTTGATATGTTGTCTTTGTTTATTTTTTTAGGTTTGAATTTGACGACTAATCAAGATTGTGCTTATTTGTTATCCTATTGAGTGTACCTGCTTTGGATCTTCGAATTGAATTTAGATACGCAATTTGCGTTCGTTGATAGTTTTCTCACGTCACTCGTCTCTAATTTACTGTCTGTCAGTGAACTTTCAATAGTTTGATCATCTTTTATAGTTTGTTTGTCAATACAGTGATATATGTTCATATATATCTTTTGTTCGAGTTTTTAAATTAGGCTTTTAATATTTTCCTTATATAATCTTTGTATAATCGTAAGTAACTAATTTCTTATATCAATAGTTATAAAAATACTTTAACTATATGTTTAGTTTATAATTACGATTATAAACCTTCATTATTATTATTATTATTATTATAAATATTTGCCATGTTTCGCCATTCAAAAGATGAGAAGGTGAAAAAAGAAAAAGATAAGGAAGCCTCTCTCGTATTCGGGAACAAGATTTTCAAATCAAATCAAATCATAATTGTAATTTTTATTATTCGATAGATATTTTAAAAATAATAATTTAATAAAAAATATTTTAATAGTCATAATTCCACTTTTTAATGATATAAATATCGATGTAAGTTCTAGTTTTCTTTAAAAGAATTTAAAGCAGCTTATTAGAGAATTTTTTTTTTATAGATAATAGTTATTTGAATTAAGACAAAATAATTGGAATGAAAGATCAAACTATCTGAAATTTAGATTAAAAGTAAACTTTAAATATGATAATATATATAGGGAAAATAATTATTTGATCCTTTTCAACATAGGATAATTTATACAAATCATTCCCGATTATAGGGTGATATTTTATTAAATCTTTCGATAATTAAAAGTTATAAAATGATCTCTTAATTCTAGGGTGTTGCTTTGTTGAATCTGACTATATTAAAAGTTAAAAAATAACCATTTAATTATTCATATGTTCCAAATCATTTTTCGTTAAAAAATTGACGATAATCTAAGTTGGACCTTAACTTATTGATTGGAATATGATAAAATCTAATATGAATCGTTTGTGTTGTACTTTATGAATCGACTCTCTATTTATATTATATCACTGAACTTATGCTTGAAATATTATGTCTTTGAGTTAGTGCTTGAAAATAACGACGGTGTCGGTAGATATTATTAAAATATAATTTTATAATATCTCAACCAGCATGTTAACGTCTAGTTCAAACAACCCTAAAATTTTTTCGAAAAAAATATAAGTTTGAAATATATGAATAATAAGATAACTATTTTATAACTTTTATGAGTTAAAATACTTAATAAAATATTAATTTATAATTAAAAACTATTTTATAATTTTTAATAGTTAAAAAATAAAACAACATCAAAATCTGAAATTTGTATATTTTACCTTCAAAATAACAAAGGCCCACACACAACATGTTCTCACGTCAAAATCTGATTTGGGGCCCACACTCGAGCAGTGCGCGTTTTGTAATGACGACACGGCCATAGCTAAGAAAATTTGATTTTCTCCTTCAAATAATTTTGATGGCTCTTTACCAACTATATATATTTGTTTTTTATCCTCTCGCTTTTAAAATTGCACTCCGATTAATTTAGATGATCTGTATCTTACATTTAATTTTGATAAATAAGTTTTTTAGTATAAATTTTTTGCGTACACAAGACTTCAAATTCAATATTTGTTTAAATAATATCAAGTTACTTACCACTTAAATTAACTCCGTTAGTTTTCAATTATATTTATAATTTCTATTACCACTTTCCTTAGTTCTCATTAACTAATATGTTTAGATGTGGAAATTCAACATTTATGATAATTATTATAACGCGTTAATTTTATATGAAAATAAATTCACGGGTTCAATTTTTAAAAAAAATCATAATTTATGTAATTAATTATCATCGAAACATTATATAAAAACTATGAATACAAAGAAACCAAATCTCAACGTCATGAACATGATTTGTCCAAACTAAATGTGTTGAGAGCATGTGATGGAAGGTGAAGAAACAAAATATCTGGTAGGGATGTAGGCCATTTCTTGGATTACAAGCAATGCTTACTTAATTGGGAATTTATTAACTCAAAATAACATTTTAATTTATTTATTACCATAGTGAGCTAGTTCTTTCATCAATCATGTTGAGCATTCAAGTTATATAATTCAAATTTTAAAAGATAAATATTTTATCTTAGAAGTATTTTTCTATATTATTGTGTATTTCACAACACAAATGTTGTTGTAGATTGAGTGGTTAGGGTACATAGTGTCACGGACTTAGCCTAGTTGGTTTTGTTGTTAACCCGTGCGGCACTCGAAAGGGACGTTTCCCCACCAAGTCAGCCTTAATCTCGTATATCTGATTAAACACAAAAATGAATATGGTTAGACCTTCGCAACAACAAGGCCCTTCGACCAAAGACCGAGACCGTGGGGCATAGCGAATAACCCGGTCGACCTTAGATTTCTTCGAGGGTAAAAATGTTTTATTAATCGAAAAGTAACATCGGGTTACAAAAAACTCACCCACATCATCGACTAGGCTGTAGGGGCGACCCTCGATGGTGTTCACAAACACATACCATTAAATCTGTGGTTCAGCCCAAACTCTGACAGCTGTCTACCCCTACATATATGAGTAAACAAAATAACATAAAATGCTATATGTAGACATTAAAATGCTTGAAAAGAGAACAAGCTTATTCTACCCTGCCAATAGGCCCTATACACGGTTGGCTTTAGCATATCTACCTGGTTGTAGCCCCATAAAGGGGCGACCATAATATTCTCCCCCACCTAATTTGTCGACACCCTCGTCGATTGTACTGCATGAAACTCTTCGGTATTTTCCTTGAATACCCTGAAGTGATACTCTTTCTCCCAACTGTTATCTTCACGATCAAGGCCTCCCTACTTGACTAGATACTCTTGTCTTTGATTGCTGCCTACCTTAACAACTCTACTTACAAGAATTTCATCAACATGACGCTGTGAAGGTGGTTGCGTACAAATCAACTACCTGGCAAACTGACTCTGATTGGCATCATTGGGATCGATATGGAATGGCTTTAAGTTGCTTACATGGAAGATTAGGTGAACTCTCATCAAGCAAGAGGGTCCACCTTATATGAAACATTCCCCACTCTTGCAATTATCGAGATTGGACCTTCATACTTGCTCACCAAGTGGCGATCCATATGGCACAAGAATCTAAGTTGTTATGGCATCAACTTTACTAGCACCAAATCTCCAACCTGAAAATACATATCCCTTCTGTTAAGATCTGCATATTTCTTAATACGCTCTATTGCTTTCTCCAAGTAAGCCTTGTCAATATTAGTATTCTGCTTCCATTTCTCCCATAAAATTCGAGGCATGAGGGTATCTTCCTTGAGAAGTCTCATTCATCGTACGAGGAAGTCTCGACTACTGACCTCTCACCAGTTTAAAAGGCATTTTATTAGTGGATGAGCTCTTTTGTGAATTAAAACATAATTGTGTAACATCCAATAATGGAGGCCAATTTTTCTGATTGGCCTGGATAAAGTGCCTCAGATACTCCTTTAAGAGCCCATCAAAACGCTTAGTCTAGCAATCTGTTTGGGGGTGGTAACTCGATGAAAAATTGAGTTGTGTTCCTACTAACTTGAACAAACCCTTCCTTAACTTCCCAATAAATCTTCCATCTCGATCACTGACTATGCTCTCCGAAAGGCCCCAATATTTCACTACGAGTTTGAACACAAACCTAGTAGTCTCTTCAGCCGAATAATACTTCAGTGCTTATATAAAAGTGGAATACTTCGAGAACCTGTCCACTATTTCTAGAATAGATCCAAGATCTCCAACTTGTGGCAAGCTTGATATAAAATCCAAGGAGATACTCTCCTAAGGTCGAGTGAGCACCGGTAACGGTTTCAACAACCCAGATGTCTTCTGTCGATCCACCTTATCTTGTTGACAGATGAGACATGTCTTGGTGTAGTCCATCATATCTTGGCGCATTTGAGGCCAATA